TTCCGTTCTGCGTGAAGGATATGTGGCCGTCATCCAGCACCGATCATAGTCCGCTGGATTACTCAATATGGCGCGTCATGAAGGCCAAGGCCTGTTCTAAACGCTACCCGAGTACAGCAAGTCTCAGACAAACATTGACCCGTACCTGGAGAGAAATGGATCCAGACTACATTATTAGAACATGCCGTGCATTCCGGAAGCGTGTGGAGGCCGTAATTGTAGCAAGTGGAAACTCGATCGATGATTAATATAGTTTAAGACTCTGAGAAACATCCTCCCTTTGAATAAATAAAAAAAACTCGAAAACGAAATTTTTGAGATTTTTTTTAAATTTTGGCATTGCTCAATGGTGCAAACTTTATCACGCATACGGTAAGTGTGTAGAGATTCCTTAAAAATCAATTGGGTATCCTTAAAAATCAATTTAAATTTTGAAAAATATATCGGTTATTAAAATTTTAAGATTTAAATTTAAAGCATTTAACGCTAAATAAAGCTTTTTGACACAAAACTAACAAATTGACAGCTGGCTCTCATATAAAGTACCACCGACGGGTGCCAAGATGATGATTTTTGCTAATGTAATTGCACTTAATTAACAGAATTCCAGTGCTTAAAAATTGATGACATTTTGGATATCGGTTCTATTTGTTATGCAGATTGCATATGCCATTACCTCAATACCACCCCTAAGGATGTGTTCCATTTGGTGAAATTTCTCTTAAATTAAAAAAAACGAAAATTTTCAATTAACCCTCCTCTTCCACCAGACTTTTTTTTTATGATAGACAAGAAATTAATTTTGACAAAAACCTTCTCGAAAATCGACCGATCAACAACAAAGGGGTTTTTGAAAATTTTATTTTATTTTCGAAACGTCGTGTTTAAGTGAAAATTCACCATATCAAACACAGCCTAAAGAACCTAATTTAACAATTAACGTTTCCGTCTGTTCGCAAATCTATTTTAAGTTATTTAAAGTCAAATTCTTTACTCTCAAAAGGGGCCGTAAAAAGTTACTTTAGTGACTAAATTTTATATAAAAAGTGACTTTAGTTACTTTTTGATGAAAGAAGGGACTTATTAGTGACTGACTTGAAAAAAGTGACCTAGCCACTAAAAAGTGACCTGCTATCAACTTAACTAGAAACTCAGGGGATTTACTAAAACTTCCGCAATGTTCCAAGATCTTCAGGGAAGTTTCGAAAAGATGTTTAGGCACTTTCATTATTTTCAGGGATGCTCCGAGTTCTCGCAGGATGACCAGAGTACTTCAAAGCTACTCCATTAGTTAACTGCAGGAACTTCAAGAAGTTCAGGGAAGCCTGCAGAACTTTTATGAAGTTCAGATATCTTTGGGACAGTTTCAAAAACATCAGAGATGCACCGGAAACTTCCAGACCAGCGGTTCACAAACTTTTGTCGGTCGTGAATCACTTTGAAAAATCTCATAAGCTCGTGACCCACCAATATTAAAAACAAATATTGTAAGGCCAATATGACCTTCAAATCTCAAAAAGTGGCTAATCTATAAAATGTAATGAACATAAATTAACTGTGTGTGTTATATTAAACGACTCATGAACTTATATGTTTAAAAATAAACCATGAGCGTTGAAAAAATTTAGATCCGGCGGATACAAAATCTAGATTATGGACATTTTTTTTAACTGTAGAATACGTCTTTATAATATAAACTAAGCAATTGATTTAACCTTTGGTCGTTAATAGAAGAACGTCAAAAACTACAAGGGACAGCCCTATGGGGTTGTACGCAATGGTGACGAAGGACTACGTGGTCTTATATAATACATCTTATTTGTTAACTGCAGCAGGAGCTTGTGTATTGTGTAGGAATAGTAATTTGATCGGGATTCTCTCTGTTTATACTCTTTAGTATGACGCGCTTGACACGGATGGCGATTCACGTAGAGCTACTGATTCCGATCAGTAGCGCTGCGGCTTCTTCCTCCTTCTATGGATGGTCATGTGGGCTACAGCTCGTTTTGTTGTGTACTGGAGAAAACCATCACTCACCTCGCGGTCCGGCCATGAGCTGGAATTCGAAGATAATAACACTCTGACTTGTGATTGTAGAACCCCAATCTAAAGAAGAAGTTGAGCAAAGTGGACAGCAAATATTTTCAGTAATTGAAAATCAGGAAGTGCACACAGACCTTCATGAGAACCACGCGGTGAGTGAATAAACACCGTTTGGTGAATTCAACATTGAAATCTGTGTTAGGGAAATCGCTTTTTGCAGGCAATTGTGTTGTTTAAGGGTATTGAGATAAATACATATTCGTTATCTGCATTAAAAATGGAACCAAAATCCAAAATTTCATCAATTATGGTACACTGGAACTATTTTAAAATAAGTACGATTACATTAGCAAAAATCACCATCTTACCGCCCCTTGGTGGGACTTTGTATGGGAGCGAGCTGTCAAAGAAAAGATTTAGTGTCAACAATCAAACATTTGAATCTTGATTTAAAAATCGAGATGAATGTCTTCGGGATCGATAAAAATATCGTTGTGCTCAGAAAACGAAGCTCTTTCGATGATGTATAAAAATCTGCATATTTTTCGAAGCTAAACAACCCAACTGGTGATAATTTTTACTATAATAACAACAGTGGCACATCCGTTCAATTTTCAAAAGTGACATTTAAAAAAAAAATGTGATAAAGTCTTAAGTTTAACAGATACGTAGACATATTTCTAATCGATTGGTGAAAAAATTATTGAAATTGGTCCAGGGGAAGCTGAGTTATTAATGTTCAAAATCTTCCATAATTTTGTTACATGTTCCAATTTCGGTTGTCACAAAGTGTACCCCCATATAGAAATCAAAGACGTAGTCTTACGACAAAAGAGCTTTTTGCGTGAGACATAGGAAGTGGAACACTTTTTCTCATTTCCCGATAAATTGTTTCATCTGAGATGCTCCAAAACTTGATCTACAGTTGCCAATTTTAATTATGTATCGTTTTTGCAAGGCTCCTGCTGGTGTTCAGGAATATTTTTGTTGAGAAAATGGGAAATTAGAATAATTCCTTAGTGGGTATGATCTTCCGGAATTGTGTGTGAACAGTTGAGGTACAAATCAGTTCAGATCTGCGTAAAATCGTAAAATAAGACAATTACCGATGGAAATAGGCATGATGTTCAATGAAAAATGCTTTAATTTTCGTTATGAAAAATCCTTTTTCCTTTATAAACAAACGGTTTGGTTGACGTTTCCTCTCGAATACGCCTGGCTACATTGGTAGTGCATTGAAAAAGCCTATTCCGGGGCTAATTGCTAAAGACTGATTAGCCCGGAACCAGCATGCCATGAGAGCTTAATGGTAGGCATTAAGCTCACCAAACCATTAGCTACTCATTCCACCGAACGAACACAGATTCCACACAGGCAAACAGACATAACATTCGGATATTCCTACTTAATTCAAAGCATTCTTGGTTGGTATCATCGCCCCCTGTGGCGCTAATTGTCAACTTCCGTGGCGTTTGACGTTTGAACACTACCGCTACCCATGATAGTGCATTCACCAGATGGTGTTAGTGTTTTAGCAACGGTGTTTTTCAATGGTAAATATTCCATGAGCTACGTCTGTTTGTCTGTGGATTCCATTCAATTCACCATCCCTCAAACCGCGTTGACATGTAAATTATTCATCGTCCTTTCTGTATGCGCTAGTATTGATGGAACGAAAGTGAAGATAACAGTTGACTTAAATAACTTCTAAACTCGATTCAAACTTGGATTTGTCAATAATCAAACGAACTTTTTGGCTGGAGCGAATGTGAAGGACCATCCACAATGGATCCGTTACGTTTGCTTGAAAATGAGATTATGCAAGTGTGTGTGTGTGTATGAATGGTCACTATCGGGAAATTCCACTACAATGAGCAACCGTAATCCGTAATTGTGCAATCATTCAAGAACCTATTAAAATTTCAATAGACAGGAAACGACGAAGCCTTGATTCGCCGATGGCTGCTTCTGATGTGTACATATATGATGTTTTCATTAATTTGCGATGCGAAGCGAGTGAATATAGATGAATCAATAACGAGTGTCAACAATCAACACGATTTTATTCAAATGGATTTCGCAAAACAAAAAAGAACATTCAACCAAATTTTACGGAACCCACGCACTCTGTTCCACAGCTTGCTCATTTTTCAAGAGTATAGGTACATACCCTCTACAGACCTGCACCCCTGCGCCTCCACCAAAGTCACGTCAATCAGCCATCCGAAAAAAAAACGGTCACATTCCATAATGATGTAATTTCGCCCACCTCGGTGGGGGCCACAGCTGGAACATTCAAGGTTATTACTCCCCGTTTCCATTTATGTGAACCTTGTAGCTACGTCACTCCCACGTGCAGTTTCTTTAAAGAGCTGAATGTCACACACTTGTCACTTCATTTCACCCCCATTCTCGACCAACACCCAATGCCCATAATGGGCTGCTTTCATCTCCCGAGATTTTCGTTTTTTTTTTTTTATCTCACCATGTTCCTTTCAAGAACCCTACAACGCCTTTTTCATAACCAACTGCGTATATAGGTATATGTGTGGGAATGTGCTTTCGATCCCACTAACCCAGAATTCCAAAGACGGTGCAGGAAATTATTTCACCATAGCCTGCTTTGTTTTTCACATCGTTGCTTTGCGCACAGCCTTTTCTTAGAATGCTGCACTCCTGGCATGGTGATATTTGAGTTGCCTATTTGCTTCACCACAGTTGTTGTTGTTTGCCACCAGCTCCATGGGCTTTGCTTTTCATCATGTCAGAGAGGATTTTCTTTCGCATTGTTTTAGGAACTAAGAAATTACACAACGCCATGTCATTCACTTCAATTTGTTATGTATATTTTTTATCATATCCAGCTTAAAGCTAATAATCTAACAGAAATAGTCCTTAGATGCTAAGGCCATAAATACACTTTCACACATCACTGATTGATAAAAGCACACATTGAATACAGTTCAATCCTCTCTCACACACAAACACTCAATCACACTCGCGGTCACTGGCAACCCTCCCCGCGCCTATCAATCAATTCGACGCATTGATAGCGCACTCTTTGTTCACTGCCAGCTCCAGCGCCTGCTCCAGCTTGAGCGATTCATTTTCCTCACACAACCGATCCATAATCTGGCCGCTCCTCAGCCCCGTCACAAACTTGTCCAGCAGAATAGCTTCGAGGTTCTCACCGAACTTGCAGTCCACGGACAATTTCTTCAACCGCCCGTACCACTGAGTCACGTTTTCGTGCGGTTCCTGTCGCGAGTTGTAAAAGCTCGTTCGCTCCCGGAAAATCGCAACCTGTGGCGTGTACTGCTTCCGCAGGAGCGTGCACAGCTCCTCGAAGGTTTTGTTCTTGGGCAGCACCGGATGGCACAGGTCCCGCACACTTTTGTACGATTCCCCACCGATAACGCTAATCAACAGCGCGACCCGCTTCGTTTCCGGGATATCGTTCACCTCGAAGAACTGCTCCAACCGCTCTTGGTACACGTTCCAATCATCGACGGAACCGTAGAACTCCGGAATCGAACCGATCAAATTCTGGCCTGCCATTGCTGTGACTAGATACTTTTTTTTTCTCTCCTGCAGACTTCAAAATGAGGACTGAGTAGCTGCTCCGGCCGGTTGATTACTTTTATGAACGGCGTTTGCCTGCTGGTGTAAGTGCCTTGGGCCATGTACGCTTATTCGCTTATACGCTTATACGCTTATACGCTCTACAGTGTCCCTACACGTTGTATCCGTACGGGCTCCGAAATACGGGCTGGTTGTGTGAAGTTGGGAATCCCCCCTATCGAGACGAGAGCTACATTGGATGACTTGATTTGAACATTCATGCGAGTGCTGGTGCTGATAATCAAGAATGTGTATGCAGCAAGTGTGATTCACTGCACTGAATGCAAACTTGGATGAACAAGGGAAAGTGACGTCAGTCAGGTAATGGATTGAATTTCGTAACATTGGAGAATGTTAGCTGGATTTGTTTTTCTGAACTGTGTTTTGGCTATTTCTTAATGTAAATAAATAGTTCATCCGGTTATTAGTGACAACTGTCAAATTTTCCGATTCCGTTCCGCTTGCGCCCACATTTGGGCCTTAAGTCAAGATTTTCGGAACAAGTAAATTTTTCGTTTACAAAAGTACACCATGAATAAAAATCATGAAATCCTGAACATTGTTCCGAAAAATAAATGTAGCGCCTGCGTTACGTTGCATAAGGCACCAGCAAAGGCAACAAAAGTCATAGAAACGAGAACTCTGTTCTGAAAATCATGATTATGTTCTGGTAAACGTGTTTAAAATTCATGCGTTGTGCTTAATATTGTGAACCTTTTCTCGAAAATGGGATCATGGTTCATGAACTGTAAAACGTCAACATTAAAATAATTGCCGACGCCGGTGATGTAGTGGTTAGCGTGACTGATTTCTCATCTCAATGGGTCTGGGTTCAATCCCAGCCTAGGTCGGTGGGATTTTTCTGAGGCATAAAAATCTCTGGTCACGTCTTCCTTCGGAAGGGAAGTAAAGCCGTTGGTCCCGGCCCATGTGTGTTGATGAAGGCTTTGTAACAAGTGTAAGTGTTGCGTCCAAGATTGGTGAGATTAATCGCGTGTAGTTTTGGAATATTTTGTTTTCGACGTAGGACTACGTCTGTAATTTTTATATAGGAGTACACTTTGTGAAAACCGAAAAGGGAACATGTAACAAAATCATGAAAGATTTTGAACGTTAATAACTCAGCTGCCCCTGAGCCAATTTCAATAATTTTATAACCAATCGATCAGAAATATCATTACGAACCCCGCTCAAATTCCTATTCTAACACAAAACACAAGCTCCTGCTGCAGTTAACAAACAAGATTTATTATATAGGACCACGTAGTCCTACGTCACCATTGCGTACAACCCCATAGGGCTGTCTATTGTAGTTTTTTAATCCAAGAAAAGGTTTACATGTTTGTAAAAGGTAAAACGAAAACACTTCCATGTAAAATGTAGGACAATGCCACTAGCCACCGCCAGAGGACGCTGTATGCAGTCATGAATGGACGGCCATAGGGGTGACGTAATGGGGGCCATTGCGAGGAGAATTTGTGGCACGTACGACGGTTCAACGGCCACGGTTCGGGGTCATCATTCACCAAGAGGCACAATCATTAGCCTGGTGATCTTTGCAGACGATAGTCGCAAGAAAGCTATACATAATAATCAAGTGGAAGTAGACGATACACAGAGTCAAGTGAGAGTAATCTTCGGAGTGGAGTTCAACAGAGTAAAGGAAGTTGCCACGTACTATTACATCCAGGTACATACCGTCACCAAAAAACCTACTGAGAACCTAACTAACAGCCATTTCGAATTCTCCATCGCGCCTAGGCGGTTTCACCGTAAAGTTTACGGTAGGCCGTTCATCGTTCGTATAATCAACCACGCCAAACACCGGTAGTGTTGAATCGACAATCGTAAACCTGTTCCCCGAGTTAACCGTGTTCACCACGAAACCAGGCAGGCGAACTATTCCACGGGACTGTTGAAGCCTCGAGTCCGTCATCATACTCGAGGGGCGCACGGGACAGGTGTAAGGGTCCTCTGAAGGCTGCAGCCCCAACAAGCGAAGCATGAAGAAGGAAGCAAAGGAGAACGACCACCCCTGGAGAGGAGAAGCAGGACCAGCGGAAGAAGTGAAGCGCCGGCGAAGCGTCGGCGAAGGTAGTGGCAGTTGAAGGGGCCTCGAAGACAACGAAACAAACAGTACTAGTACAAGGTAGGAGTAGAACAGTAAAGAAGTGGGAGACGCTAGTTTCGAGACCGTCCGTGAAGTGGGAAGGAAGCAATACGAATAAAAGCGACTAAAGTGGGAGTTTTATCCGTAGTGAACGTAAGTGTTTTCTTGGTTTGGTTCACGGAATTGTTACGAGCGTGTGCCGACCCTGAGGATTGAAGACGGGAGTCTCATCAGTGCTGGGAGTAACACCGCACTGGCACGTTACAGCTGGGCTGGAACAACCGAACAATAAAGGTTTTACCCATACTCCAAATTTGGAGCAGGCATCTGTGGACACACTTCAAGGTCATCAATTCAACAGATATTCGGTTACCATGATCGCAGCTACCACCACCTTCATATTGCTGATTCACATATATCTTAAGGTACGTTTAGACTATCTGATTTGTTGGTCTGATTCGAGCGAACTGCTCGATAATTTTGTCGGATGCAATGTTTGGATGCGTTCACACTTTTTTGACAGTATGATTAGATTTGACGTTTGATTTGAACGAAATAGGTTTGCATTTAATTTTCATCCGACTGATCCAGCAAAATAGGCGCAAGTTAGGTGAAAATATTGATTTTTTCTTTCTAAAATTTCACGGATTTGAACCGCTAAAGAACGCTTGATTTGTGTGTTGATGGCATCCAGCAGCAACCCTGATAACTTGTGTATAGTTATTTTGCTTAACGACGTGATCAGGGTATCATCCAAACCACTTGTGGAATTTAGGTTATCGTTCGGGTATGGTTTATTTTTTATTAGGGAAGGTAAACCGATTTCACTATTCAATAATGTCCTGCGTATGGTTTGACTGATTTTTATTTTCCAGTGTGGTTGGCCGAAAGATGCCGTAATGGCTTTGATCTTGGCATGGTCAACAAAACAGTGTGTATATAATACGAAGCATATATTGTATAAGAATCAGCATGCCAGACAGCAGGTCTGAGAGCCTACTTGGATTTTTTTCAGAGCTTCAGAGAGGTTCGGAGATCTACTGAGAAATTTGTTGAGCTTCAGGGTAGTTCGTAAATCTTAAGAACAGAACTGCAAAACTTCAGAAAATTTTACAGAAATTTACAGAAATTTGCAGAAATTCAAAAAAAATCACAAGAGAGATCGAAGATCTTCAGATAAATGTTCAAAGAAATTATCAAAACTTCAAGCAAGCTAAAACATTTCCAGATCAATGTGTAAAACAATAAGCGAAACTTTGAAAATCTTCAGAGAAATTCACATAACTTCAGACAAGTCCAAGAATCTACAGTGAAATATAAAGTATTTCACAGAAGTTCGGAGATCTACTGAAAAATTATTCAACCTCAGAAAATTTAGTAGATCTTCAGAACAAAGCTACAGAACTTTGAAAAAAAGTTACAGAACTTCTGAAAAATCTCAAGAATGGTCATAGATCTTCAGATAAATTTGAAGACCGTCAAGAAAGTGTGCAGATTTTCTGATATATTTTTAGAATCTCAGATGGATCTTCAGTAAAATTTGCAGAACTTCAGGGAAGGTCAGTGATTAAAAAAAATTATACGATTTCAGGGAAATGTCGATCTTGAGAGAGACATTTAAAAAATCAAGGAAGCTCAGTTATTCTCAGATAATTTTGAGAACTTAAGGTAATTGAGAAGATCTTCAGGGAAATTTTCAGATCTTCAGGGTAGCCCGAGAGCCTACAAAGGAATTTACAAAACTTCAGAGAAGTTTGCAGATCTACTGAGAAATTTATTTAGCCTCAAGGTTTTTTTTTTCGTAGATCTTGAGAATAGAACTACGGAGCATCATACAACTTTACAGAACTTTGCAGGATATTTGCAGGAATTTTTTTAAAAACCTTCACAGTTTCAGAAAAATGTAAGATCTTTAGGAAAGTTCGTTAAATGTCATAAAAGTTCCTCAATTCCACAAACAAATCGCAGCGAAGTACAAAAGTCCAAAATTTTGCAGTACTCCATGGAAGATGGAAATAGATAGATCTGAAGATCTTCAGAGAAGTCCGTAGACCTTAACAGAAGTCGTAAGAAAGTTCGTACGTTTAAAAAAAAAATTGCAAAACTTCAGCAAAACTCACAGAACTTCAGGGAAGTTCACCGATCTTTAGAAGTATTTACAAAACTTCAAATAAATTCGTTATCCTTCAGATACATTTTTCGAACTTCAGTGAAGTTAAAGTATTTTCGGATATTTTGTAGAGCTTTGGGGAATTTCAAAGAATTTCTGATATATCTGCAGCACTGTATGGAAATCCAAGAATGAAAGAATTTACAGAACTTTAGAAAAGTTTGGAGATCTACTGAGAAATTTATTGAACTTCAGGGCAGTTCGTAGATTTTCAGAGCAGAAATACAGTAGTACAGAAAATTTTACAGAATTTGAAAGAAATTTTAGGAACTTCAGAAAGTTCAGAGGGTAGATTGTAAATCTATTGAAAAATCTGCAGATGTTTAAATAATTTTAAAAGATTTTTATTGCGGTTCTGGGATTTTAAGAGAAATTTACAGAACTTCAGGTAAGTTCACCGATCCTTAGAGATATTTGCACAATTTCAGAAAAAAATAGTAAAACTTCAGAAAACTTCCTAAAACTTTCGGAAAGCTCAAAAATTTCTAGATAGATAAGATCTAGATCTTTTAATTCGGTAGGAAATTGTGAAGGTGTTCAGAGATATTTGCAGATATTCATTAAATCATGAAAATCTACAGAGAAAATTACACAACTTTCGAGAAGTTCGTAGATTATTAGCAGTGTTGGAAAAATATCAAAAAATCAAATCTCACCAACGCCCAAGATCACGCTTGATTTTCGTGGACA